TATTCTATTAAATAACAATAAGTTTTTGGCAAATAATTTGCTTAAAAAAAAGTGGTAGTCATTTAAAATTAGTGGCTATCTTTAGCTTGTATATACCGTACATACTGCATATGGTAGAGTATATATATAATGATAATTATTGTATCTTATATTCAAAATAAGTTAACCAAATATAGTAAATTCTAAAAAGGTTTGGTAATCTGGAAATGTTCAATAAGCTTGTTGATTATTATTTAATCAGCTCAGAAGATCAACCATCAATTGATTGTAATTATTAGTGAATCAAATTCTCTAGAAAGAATAGTATTTTTTATAGTGAGAGAGCAAGTAATAATTTTATATAGGGGGTGCGCGTTATTTAGGAATGCACATGGGCGTTATTTTGAAACCATATATATTATTTTAAGGGGCGTGATTTTCTAATTAATGCTCATGAGCGTTATTACGTGAAAATACGGTATAAAAATTTTATATTTTAATAAAATAAACAAAAAATATAAGATTGCTATTTAATAATAATAAAATATTTTTTTAATAATATTTTAAAAACTAATAAATAATTTTATTTATTTTAATATTATTAAAGAATTTATAATTTAGTGCACTAGACGCCGCAGTGCACCCCATATATACTGTATTAATTTATTTATATCCCGTCACTGATTAAATGACTGATCACTTTATTTATATCATTAAATTGTTACACTCAATAGCTTTCTTTCTTACACTCAATTATTTTGCTTTTATTTATACTATTCACTACTAATTTTTTACTACTTTCATATTGTCGTTGTTATACATTATCGTATTGTCTTTGTTATAGATAACACTATTGTGTATAATAAATTCACTTTCATATTGTCATTGTAATAAACACATTATTGCATTATTGCATCGTTTTGTCAAAAATAACCTATATCGCAGTTGTTATACATAACTCTTGATCCCATTTACTTGTGTCATTGCCATATATAGTTCATATTTTTTGTTCAACTAGCCAAATCTAAAATAAATGAGTGACAAACATGAAAAAAATGATCACAACTTACTTAACGAAACTGAAGAAATAGCAGATGAAACAGAAATTGACTTGGAAAGTTTCTTTGAAGAGGCCTATTATGGTAGTGTAGATATGGAAGACCTATGTATAAATATAGAAACAGTAATATTAGAAGTAGAAAACAATTTTGATGATTTTGACCAAGCTAAACAATATGTAAAACTCTATGCTGAATTCAAAGATTTCAAAATAAGAATAGGTCAGAATTCTGCAATAGATAATGCTGAAGGAGAGAAAGTTCAACATAAAAAGACTATCTGTTGTCGTCATTCTGGTCAATATCATCTAGCAAATAAAGCAAAATCTAGAAATACAGTTAGACAGGGCTGTCAATAGTATATCAACCTTTTGAGACCAATTAAAAAGAACCCAAGCTTTCGTGTTTATATGACAATATTAGAAGATAAACATAATTACGAAATATGCTCTGAAGCATTATAGTTTGAAAAGCAAAAAGCATTTACAAAAGAAATGAGAGAGAATATCAATTTTTATATAAATAAGTGTCATTTTGGGGCAACTTTGATTCGACAGATCCTCAAGCAAAGATATTCTCTTCACCCAGTTTTACAAAAAGACCTGTATGTTGAAATTCAGAAGCATAAACTGTCAGTACAATTTAATGAGAGTGATGTGGCACACTTTTATAAAAAATTATTAAACAAACAGCATCAAGATCCTCGATAGTTCATAGAAGTGACTTGAAAAGCGGAAACAAATACACTTACTGGTCTCTTTTGGATGAGCCCAGATCAAATTCTGTTATAAAGCAAGTTTGGAGAAGCCATTGGCCATGATAATATGACAGAAATGAATCATTACTATATACCGCTATTACTTCTTGTAGTTCTTGATAGTAATATAAATTTTCGAATAGCTGCGCAGACATTTATTAGTAATAAAACTACTGAATTATACCAGTGAACTTTACAAATAACTAAAAAAGCTATGCAAGGATGAATACCCAGTATAATCATTACTAATGAAGACCCTGCAATGGAATGCATGATTATGGCTGAATATCTAACAGCTTAATATTTTTTTTGTATTTAGTACCTAAAGGAAAATATAAAAAAAATGCTTTGTGGGAAGTTAGGTCTACAATTTAATGAATTTTATTCTGCATTTTAGAAATGCCATAATAGTGATACTCCCGATCTTTTTAAGCGTTACTAGACTGAATTAATTACAAACTACTCAGCTGCAAGCCAATACCTTCAAAGGCAACTTTATAAATAATGTAGGTTCTGGGTATATAGATTTACAACAACCTTATTTACACTTGGAATTGAGACAACTTCATTTGTAGAAACCAAAATGTATGCATAAAACATATTATTGAAAGTAGTAATACTTCTTTATATGAACTTGATAAGGTTCTTATGGATATTTCTGAAGATAGAGTAAGACGACAACAGTGTAAAGATCCGATTAGATTAACAGTAAACAGTGTAACAATATTTTCAAAAATCAAAGCACTTGTCAAACGCTACCTGCATTCAAATATCATACAATTTTTGATTAATCAAATAAAAGAAAGTATTTTTTATACAGCTCATCATTCAAATATTAACGAAGTTGAGAACATGCTAAAAAATGAATCATCTGAGAGTGACAATTTCAACGATGAATACGATAGTATATATATGTACGCATACTTTTTTTTACAACATTTGAATCGTGCTGATATTAATGAAGTCTGGAATATTTCTAGAATCACAAACAGTAATGTAAATCACATAATCTTTTGTTTCATTAATGGGTCATACATTTGCACTTGCTTGATGCAACAAAAAAAAGAGCTTGTTTGCCGATATTATTTCTATCTTTTAAATATTACTAAGACAGCTAGATTTAATATGCAACTTATTAATATTCGATAGATTCCTCAAGAATTTTGTGAAGATATAGCAATTGAAAGTACTTACTTTGAGCAACGGTTTATAGATAGTACAGAGAATATGATGAATGTAAGTGAACCAAATCAATGTTTTAAATAGTTTTAACCTTTTAATGATATGAATATACAAGATAGTAATGACGATAGTTTCATGGAAAAGCAGTTGCTATATAGAAAAGTGTGGGTTTAGTATACAATGCAATAGATAAATGTTTGCTATATAATGATACAGAATTTGTTAATATTATTAAAAACTATATAGCTAATATGCATAAAAAAGAGGTGGAATTGGTTCAAGTTCAACAAGCAAATCAAAAAGGTATAATAGATTTAGATGGCTCCAATAAAGAGAATATTCTTTTAAGTGCTTCATTCAAGAATCTATTAAAAGTTGCTACAAAGAAAAGACTGAAATTATCAAGCTATCGCAATAATGATAAGTGTAATCAACCACCAACACATGAAACAGATAAACAAAAGCATAATTAACTATCATGTGAAACAACAAATCATATCAAGCAAAAGTATAATCAACCATTAATATATAAAACAGCAGTTAAACGAAAGTGTTTAAATTAATGTAGCTATTGTAAGGAATTTGGCTATAATATTGCTACATATTCAAAAAAGATATAAGTAGTTAGATACATGTGAATATTGAAATATAATTTGTGCAAAGTATGCTATCACTATATATTAAATTGCTATTGTTATGTATATTTAAGTATTAATGCTACTAATATATACTAAATAAAAATTCCAAATCGAGTTCTTATATAATATATAAATATAGCTTTTAACTATTCATTATATGGTCTTTTAATTATTTAGTTATCGTTATTCTTATTTGATTATATATATTATAGGTCAAATTGTTTTTTAGATTAAGTCAAACTTGCCCGCAATCAAATTGATCCCTAGTAGAATTTTAGGGTTAGAGCGAGCCTAAATTATGTTGATGCTAGTTAAAGCTTTTTAGTTAATTAATTTGATTCAGATCAAGTTTAACTTGACCTAAAAACCAATTTAACCCATAATATATATATAAAGAATTTGATTAATTTTATATTTAATGTTAGTATTAGAGTTAGTATTCGATTATAATTGATATATATATATATTATTATATAGTCACGTATATAGAGTGCACTGCAGTACAGGTACACATTTTTTTAAAACCCAATATTTTATATATATTTTATATATCTTATATATATTTTATACTTATAATAATATATATAAGAAATAATTTATTTAATACCCAGATGTAGTGTTTCTAGGTCTGGTCTGGGTCTGGTCTAGTCTGAGTCTGGTCTGGGATCAGACCAGACTCAGACTCTAAATTTTACTAATTTTAGACTTCAGACCAGACTCAGACTCAATTGTGGGTTTGG